GATGGCAGCAAGGGAAATGGATACTAAAAATATATGATGCTAAGGGCTACAAAGGGAATGTAGTGGAGAGGACCTGAAGGGCAAATGGAAAAATGATAACCCACCTAATGAGCTTGTGTAAATGGATGGCAGGACAGGGAATGAGAGGGATAGTAAAAAGATATGATGCTAAGGGCTACAAAGGATAAGATGTAGTGGAGAATCATGACCTGAAGGGGCAAATGGAAACAATGAGTAACCTACCTAATAAGCTTGTGTAAATGGATGGCAGGACAGGGAATGAGAGGGATACTAAAAATATATGGTGCTAAGGGCTACAAAGGATAAGATGTAGTGGAGAGACATGAGAGGGGGCAAATGGAAACAATGAGCAACCTACCTAATAAGCTTGTGACCTGGATGGCAGGACAGAAGAGGGATAAAAAATATATGGTGCTAAGGGCTACAAAGGATAAGATACCTGGAGAGACATGACCTGAAGGCGCAATGGAAACAATGAGTCACCTACCTAATAAGCTTGTGTAAATGGATGGCAGGACAGAGAATGAGAGGGATACTAAAAATATATGGTGCTAAGGGCTACAAAGGATAAGATGTAGTGGAGAGACATGACCTGAAGGGGCAAATGGAAACAATGAGTAACCTACCTAATGAGCTTGTGTAAATGGATGGCAGGTCAGGGAATGAGAGGGATACTAAAAAGATATGCTGCTAAGGGCTACAAAGGATAAGATGTAGTGGAGAGACATGACCTGAAGGGGCAAATGGAAACAATGAGCAACCTGAATGAGGGCAAATGGATGGCAGGACAGGGAATGAGAGGGATAGTAAAAGATATGATGCTAACCGAGAAACCTAAGATGAGCTTGGGTAAATGGAAACAATGAGTAACCTACCTAATGAGCTTGTGAAATGGATGGCAGGAAAAAATGAGAGGGATGCTAAAACATATGGTGCTAAGGGATACAAAGGATAAGATGTAGTGGAGAGACATGACCTGAAGGGCAAATGGAAACAATGAGTAACCTACCTAATGTTTAAAAGCTTGTGTAAATGGATGGCTAAGGGACAGAGAACATACGAAAAATGGAAAATGGTAACCTTCCTAAGGGATGGTGGAGAGACAAAGATAAGAAGGGAGACAATGGAAAGAAAATGAGTAACCTACCTAATGACTTGTATGGATGCAGCACAGAGAATGAGAGGGATACTAAAATATATGGTGCTAAGGGCTACAAAGGATAAGGGTGGAGAGACATGACCTGAAGGGGAAATGGAAACAATGAGTAACCTACCTAATGAGCTTGTAAATGGATGGCAGGACAGAGAATGAGAGGATACTAAAATATATGGTGCTAAGGGCTACAAAGGATAAGATGTAGTGGAGAGACATGACCTGAAGGGGCAAATGGAAATGAGTAACCTACCTAATGAGCTTGTGTAAATGGATGGCAGGACAGGGAATGAGAGGGATACTAAAAAGATATGGTGCTAAGGGCTACAAAGGATAGAGAGACATGACCTGAAGGGGCAAATGGAAACAATGAGTAACCTATGAGCTTGTGTAAATGGATGGCAGGACAGGGAATGAGTAAAAGATATGGTGCTAACCTACAAAGGATAAGATGTAGTGGAGAAATGGAAGGGGCAAATGGAAACAATGAGTAACCTTCCTAATAAGCTTGTGTAAATGGATGGCAGGACAGAGAATGAAATAAAAAATATGGTGCTAAGGGCTACAAAGGATAAGATGTAGTGAGAGACATGACCTGAAGGGGCAAATGGAAACAATGAGTAACCTACCTAATAAGCTTGTGTAAATGGATGGCAGGACAGAGAATGAGAGGATACTAAAAAATATATGGTGCTAAGGGCTACAAAGGATAAGATATCGTGGAGATGAAGTGGCAATGGAAACAATGAGTAACCTACCTAATGAGCTTAAAATGGATGGCAGCACAGAGAATGAGAGGGATACTAAAAATATATGGTGTTGACCTAAGGGGCAAATGGAACAAAGAGTAACCTACCTAATAAGCTTGTGTAAATGGATGGCAGGGCAGGGAATGAGAGGGATACTAAAAAGATATGCTGCTAAGGGCTACAAAGGATAAGATGTAGTGGAGAATCATGACCTGAAGGGGCAAATGGAAACAATGAGTAAACCTAACCTAAATGGATGGCAGGTGAATGAGAGGGAATGGATGGCAGGACAAAGGATAAGATGAGGGAGAATGACCTGAAGGGGCAATGTAAAATTGAGTAATAGAGAGAAGCTTGTGTAAATGGATGGCAGGATAAGAATGAGAGGGATACTAAAATATATGCTGCTAAATACAAATGACCTGGAGAGACATGACCTGAAGGGGCAAATGGAAACAATGAGTAACCTACCTAATAAGCTTGTGTAAATGGATGGCAGGACAGAGAATGAGAGGGATACTAAAAATATATGGTGCTAAGGGCTACAAAGGATAAGATGTAGTGGAGAGACATGACCTGAAGGGGCAAATGGAAACAATGAGTAACCTACCTAATGAGCTTGTGTGGGCAGGACAGAGAATGAGAGGGATTCTAAAAATATGGTGCTAAACCTAGTGGAGAGACATGACCTGAAGGCAAATGGTAAAATGAGTAATGGCTAAGGAGCGAGTGTAAATGGATGGCAGGACAGAGAATGAGAGGGAACTAAAATATATGGTGCTAAGGGCTACAAAGGAAAGATAGTGGAGAGACATGACCTGAAGGGGCAATGGAAACAATGAGTAACCTAACCTAATAAGCTTGTGTAAATGGAAGGACAATGAGAGGATACTAAAACCTAATATGCTTAAGGGCTACAAAGGATAAGAGATAGTGGAGAGACATGACCTGAAGGCAATGGAAACAATGAGTAACCTACCTAATGAGCTTGTGTAAATGGATGGCAGGTCAGGGAATGAGAGGGATACTAAAAATGTCTGCTAAGGGCTACAAAGGATAAGATGTAGTGGAGAGACATGACCTGAAGGGGCAAATGGAAACAATGAGTAACCTACCTAATGAGCTTGTGTAAATGGATGGCAGGACAGAGAATGAGAGGGATACTAAAAAGATATGGTGCTAAGGGCTACAAAGGATAAGATAGTGGATAGACATGACCTGAAGGGGCAAAGAAAGCAATGCAACCTACCTAATGAGCTTGTGTAAATGGATGGCAGGACAGAGAATGAGAGGATACTAAAAAGATATGCTGCTAAGGGCAAAGGATAAATATAGTGGAGAGACATGACCTGAAGGGCAAATGGAAACAATGAGTAACCTACCTAATGAGCTTGTGTAAATGGATGGCAGGACAGGGAATGAGAGGGATACTAAAAATATATGGTGCTAAGGGCTGAAGGGCCTCAAAGAGACCTAAGGAGAAGAGAGGATATGATGGTGAAGGATAAAAGTGGAAACACCTGAAGGGCAAATGGAAACCTAAGTAAAGCTAATTGTTTAAATGGATGGCAGGACAGAAATGAGAGGATACTAAAAATATATGGTGCTAAGGGCTACAAAGGATAAGATGTAGTGGAGACAATGAAATGGAAACAATGAGTAACCTACCTAAAGCTTGTGTAAATGGATGGCAGACAGAGAATGATAGGATACTAAAATATATGGTGAAAGGATAAGAGAATGGAGAGGATGACCTGAACTAAATGGAAACAATGAGTAACCTACCTAAGAGCTTGTGTAAATGGATAGGATGATACTAAAAAATATATGGTGCTAAGGGCTACAAAGGATAAGATGTAGGGAGAGACATGACCTGAAGGGCAAATGGAAACAATGAGTAACCTACCTAATAAGCTTGTGTAAATGGATAAATGGAATGAGAGGGATACTAAAATATATGGAAATGACAAAGGATAAGATGTAGTGGAGAGACATGACCTGAAGGCAGCTGGAAGGGAAACCTACCTAACGAGCTTGTGTAAATGGATGGCAGGACAGAGAATGAGAGGGATACTAAAAAATGATGTTACAAAGGATAAGATGTAGTGGAGAGACATGGAAAATGGAAACAATGAGTAACCTACCTAATAAGCTTGTGTAAATGGATGGCAGGACAGAGAATGAGAGGGATAGGAAAAAAATATATGGTGCTAAGGGCTACAAAGGATAAGATGTCGTGAGAGACATGACCTGAAGGCAAATGGAAACAATGAGTAACCCACCTAATAAGCTTGTGTAAATGGATGCAGGACAGAGAATGAGAGGGATACTAAAAATACCACCTAAGGGCTACAAAGGATAAGATGTAGTGGAGAACATGACCTGAACGGGCAATGGAAAAATGGAAACAATGAGTAACCTACCTAATGAGCTTGTAAATGGATGGCAGGGGACAGAGAATTGAAGGGATACAAAAAAGATATAAGGTGCTAAAGATAAGATGACAAAGGATAAAGGGGCAAATGGTGGCAGATGAGTAACCTACCCTGAAGCTTGGGTAAATGGATGGCAACAGAGAAAACCTAAAATAATGGAGCTTAAGGGCTACAAAGGATAAAATGGATGGAGAGCCTAACGAGAATGCAAATGGCAACAATGGTAACCTACCTAAGCTTGTGTAAATGATGGAAGGACAGAGAAAAGGATACTAAAATAAGCTAAGGACAAAGGATAAATGTAGTGGAGAGACAAGACCTGAAGGGGCAAATGGTAACAATGAGTAACCTACCTAATAAGCTTGTAAATGGCAAAGAGAGGGAATGAGAGGGAACTAAAAGATATGGTGCTAAGGGCTACAAAGGATAAGATGTAGTGGAGAGACATGACCTGAAGGGCAAATGGAAACAATGAGTAAGGCACCGAGCAAGATGTAAATGGATGGCAGGTCAGGGAATGAGAGGGATACTAAAAAGATATGCTGCTAAGGGCTACAAAAGGATAAGATATAGTGAGGAAGGGGCAATGAGTAACCTACCTAATGAGCTTTGTAAATGCAGACAGAGAATGGATGCCTAAACAGGACAGGGAATGAGAGGGAGCTTGAAGGCAGAGAAGAAAGCTGCTAACGACAATTGAAGGTAGTGGATAGACATGACCTGAAGGGCAAATGGAAACAATGATGAGCTTTGAAGACAGAGAGAAAGTTGTACTAAAGAGTGGAGAGACATGACCTGAAGGGGCAAACGGAAAAATGAGCAACCCACCTAATGAGCTTGTGTAAATGGATGGCAGGACAGGGAATGAGAGGATACTAAAAAGATAGAGACAAAGAAAGATGCCTGGAGAACGACCTGAAGGGGCAAATGGAAACAATGAGCAACCTACCCAATAAGCTTGTAAAAGGCAGGAGAGGAAAAGAGATATACTAAAAAAGACATGTTGCTAAGGGCTACAAAGGAAGATGTAGTGGAGAGACATGACCTGAAGGGGAGATGGAAACAATGAGAAACCTGCCTAACGAGCTTGTGTAAATGGATGGCAGGACCTATACTAAAAAGAATGAGCTAAGGAAGGCAAAGGATAAGGCAGAGAGACATGACCTAAAGGGAGATGGAGACAATGAGAAACCTACCTAATGAGCTTTGTAAATGGCAGCGAGAATAAAGAGATACTAAGATGAGCTTACAAAGGATAAGAGAAGCTGTGGAAGTGAGAGGGGGGAAGGAAAGCGAGTAACCTACCTAATGACCTTGTGTAAATGGATGGCAGGACAGGGAATAAGAGGGATACTAAAAATATGTTGCTAAGGGCTACAAAGGATAAGATGTAGGAGAGACATGACCTGAAGGGGCAGATGGAAACAATGAGCAACCTACCTAATGAGCTTTGTAAATGGATGGCAGGAACATGAAATGAGAGGGATACTAAAAAGACATTGCTAAGGGCTACAAAGGATAAGATGTAGTGGAGAGACATGACCTAAAGGGGCAGATGGAGACAATGAGTAACCTACCTAATGAGCTTGTGTAAATGGATGGCAGGACAGTGAATAAGAGAGATACTAAAAAGATATGTTGCTAATGGCTACAAAGGATAAGATGTAGTGGAGAGTCATGACCTTAGGGGGAAATGGAAACAATGAGTAACCTACCTAATGAGCTTGTGTAAATGGATGGCAGGACAGAGAATGAGAGGATACTAAAATATATGGAAAAATACAAAGGATAAGATGTAGTGGAGACATGACCTAGGGAAAATAAACAATGAGTAACCTACCTAATAAGCTTGTGTAAATGGATGGCACGTCAGGGAATGAGAGGATACTAAAAAGAAATGCTGCTAAGGGCAACAAAGGATAAGATGCAGTGGAGAATCAAGGACCTGAAGGGGCAAATGGAAACAGATTTAACCCACCTAATGAGCTTGTGTAAATGGATGGCAGGAGGGAATGAGAGGGATTAAGGAAAAGATATATAATTAATTATACAAAGGAAAGTTGTGAGGGAGAGACATGACCGAAGGGGCAGATGGAAACAATGAGTAACTTACCTAATGAGCTTGCTTATTGAGGACAGGAATAATAGGGATACTAAAAAGGCAGGGGAAAGGATATAGAGCAGGGACATATCCTGAAGAGGCAGATGGAAACAGTGAGTAAATTATATAACGACCCAGGTCCGAGGTTCGACTGAAAGTTAGTTCATAGTTTAACTGGAAAAAAGTGATGCTAGAGCTGTGAAATTTTGCATGCGTTAATTTCAACTCTTCTTATTAATAACCGCATTCTTTCCTTCCATGTAAACTGATATCTGACTCTTCAAAGACGGGTTCAAATGTAACTAGCAGCAACTTCTCTTGAAAATGGACAAAATTTGGCATCATGGTATTATCAAGTACTTGCAGAAAAACGTCTTATCCCCCAGGGACATTCATGTTGACATTGTTATTACATTAGGGGGTGAGGCTCCGGCTTTATTAACGGTACAAAAACGGTCAGCTGAATTTAGGAGGGAAAGGAATGTCTTGTTGATTACCTAAAGACTGGACATTCTGCAACTTCCACCACCAAAGAAAGCATTGATTTTGTTTACCATGATGACGGATAACAGGTGACTGACTATAAATTAAATACTATTAGTATATCCCCTAAGAGAGTACAAAAGGTTTCTACCAAGTATTTTGACACCTGATTAAAAGTGCACTAGGCTGATCACATCAAGGAAATATTGGACATTGTTTGCGGCAGACCTACCTGGTTTCTTTGAACGTTTCCGCACCCAGATCTGCTGTTAGTTTCATCACTTTGTGTCAGAGACAAAGAGACAATCCATGCAATGGAAATAGCCTTCCTCACCTGCTCGAAAGAAGGCTAATATCGTTTCATCTACAGGGAAGGCGATGGCCCGGTCTTTTTTGTATGTAATAGGTATTGTGTTTATTATTATTAGAATAATTCATAAAGTTTTAAATCTTTTAAAATTTTGTATTAATTTGTAACGGTTACGTGATATGTTATTGAGTAAATCATAAATGGAATGTTTTTACTGGAATTTAGCGGTGGCAGTATTTTAAAAAGAATTTTGATTTTTTAGGTGTGTGTATAAACGTTCCGATTTTTGTAAATATGGACGTCCATATACGACATTATTAGAAAATAAGATAGGTAACTATAGAAAATTTGAAGTCTAAATATCTAAAATTTAGTAAAAGATCTACTTAGAATATTTTCCTAATTTTTTTTTAAGATTACTGGATAGTTAAAAAATTATATAAAAAAGGGGCTCAGACAATTCTATCGGCATAGTTATCAACACCTCATGAAACATCCACCAACAAAAGTAAGTAGTATTTGTTTCAAATGAGATTAATTAAATTTTTAATCAGCTAATCTTCCTCAAATAATGTTTCAGAAAAAACATATTTTATTTTTGAAAGATCTTTAATAAAGATAATTATGTTGTACTGAGAGATTTGTGTAACACACCGACGTTGACAACCCTTTATCTAATAACATATCTATCACTTCTGAACACACAGAGCACAGCACACTCCATTCTAAGCCCTGTCTCTTTTTCTCCTCACTCAAGAGTCGCTAGAATGCTCAACTTTGTTGAGAATAATAATTATTTTTTCCTGGGAGAGAGTTTAGGACCAGTGTGTCATCTGGATAGGGCTGATTCAGGTTTCCCAAAATCCTCGATATTGGGATTGACGACAAAGTCTAATGTGAACCCCTTATATATGTTGTGTACCACAAATAATATTACATAACTCCTGCCTGTAGCCATAGTAAGCTTTTGTCTTTCTTTGTGCATGAGCATGTCAGAATTCAGACTGGAATAAGAACTCCTTCAATAAAATGAACAACATTGTTCATAACCCTGACAACAGGTTTATTGACTATAAAGAAAAACTAGTTGAATAAAATATGTGTATTAACCACTGCAAATCAGTACTATACTGCAACCACTAAAATAGCAGTCAGCTCGTCGACCTTTCCTAAATTCTTCTGTCATGTGGGTGTTTGAGTGTTCGCTCAGGCTACCGAAATGCAGGTGTGCGGGGTTTTGTGTTTGATATTTTTCTCCGTCATGGGAGAACGATCACCAAACGAAATGCGCATTGGAAATTTTATATTTTAAATATTTTTCTGATAATAAATGATTAATGACTTCATTCAACCTAGCAAGGCCCCAGAAAATGACAATTCAAAATGCTCAATTTTATTATCTCCATATTCTCGTAAATTGACCAGTTGGCCTTCTTATTGGTGAAAGATTCTTTGTCAGATATTCAAAAAAATAAAATAAAATAAATAAACAAATAAATAAAAATAAATAAATAAATAAAATAAAATAAATAAATAAATAAAAAGAAGATATTTATAAAAATTGCAGACGATTTTCCTCGAAAAAGGCACATCTTAGGCGATCTAATTGGTAATATGATATTTCCTTTGTATATTTAAAGTTTTCTTAGATAAAGATAATTAGATTAGTGGTTCGATATAAGTCCCATATCTTGGGGCCTCACACAAGACATGTTTTGTTTCTTTGTCTAAAATAATTTAGAACACTATTTTCTGCGACTACACACATTTTCTGCTAATAGACAAAACGTCCGGATTCTAATTTCTCTAGACTCCAAGACATTCGAACAACACATTAATCGTCTTTTCTTATCGGTGGGATTTGAATAGGGCCGGGTATCTTGGTTTTGCTCAATTTTACTGAATCTTAGTTCGATTCTCGTTGGAAGTGTTCTTAATTTCATTTTATTATCTTAAAATATAAATTTTAACGCGTTTCATTTTTAATTTTCTTCTCAACCATTTAACATCCTCTCTTGAGAATTTTAAAAATTATCATCCAATTAGGCGTCCCTCCAAATCACCATCCTGTAATCTCATTCATTTAAACGTTTAAAGAGGGTATGTACTTTTTGTTATTTATAAATGACTAAAGGATAGGATTAAAAAAGATGAAAACTCATTGCATTCAATTTAAATTCTTTTGAAACACAGCAAATATTTTGCTATATGGGAAATATTAATATATATATATTAAAGGGAAATTAAAAGACCAAAATAAAACATTGAAGAGTACGTTTCTTTAATTGTAAGACCTATCTGCTTTGAACGGATCTGATTTGAGAAACCGTAGAAGAAACAAAATTAACTTCGAACAAGGATTAACATCACAAAGATATTCATAAAACATTTCTTAAAAAAAAACAGAATTACAAAATAAATGAACTCGAAGAAGAAGTAGAATCATTGTTTTATTTTGTTTTTCCTGAACAGAAAAATCCTACCACAAAAAGAAGAAATTTTTTTCAAGCTTAAAATATGGTTGGGAGTTATTTAAAGTTTGAGATATATTTAAGAAGAAGAAGCAATCCAAGAACGAAAAGCAACACAAGAAATTTGATGGTTAAAATTTGAAATGGAAGGAATTTTCAAAAGAAAATTTTTCTCCAGAAATTATCTTACATATTTATAAGTCTACCATTCGGAAGTGATTGAATAAAGGAGAACATATGATCTGATGCTCCTGATATATATATAAAGAGAGAAAAAGATAAAAATCAAAAAAAGAAAAAATGTTATGGGTCCTGAAGCATCTCGGAAGTCGGTTTCCTCACCGAAGCAAATGTAGTTTCCCGCGTCTTTTCCATAAAAAAAAAAAGAGGAAGAAAATTGTTCTGATGAACTTTTTGTAAAGATTGTAAA